GTTCCACCTATTTTTTTAAACCTTAAAAAATGGCTACTAAGAAATGTAAAATTATATGGCTGGCACTTGGGGCTTGTACCACAGTTCTATCAGACAGTGATGCTCTAGAACATAAGAAACCAGGGATGTTTGACTCATACACTGTGGTATTTCAAAACAGAACAGAAACTCAATAATTTTTGCTGAATGAAGAAATCCAAAAGTAGGATGCCAGTCCTTTTCCTCTCCTCTCTTTCCCATCTGCCTCAGGGATCTATATTTTAAAAAAACAGAATTTAGGGGGAGGGTATAGCTCAGTGGTAGAGTGCTGTGCTTAGCATACATTAAGTCTTGGGTTCAATCCCCAATACCTCCATAAGTAAATAAGTAAATAATGTAGTTACTCCCCCATCCCAAAACTTTGAGGCGTAAGTTATAAGAAAATCGCCCGTTTTAAGTGTATAAATCCAACGACTGTAAGTCACCACACTGTGCACCCATCGCGCCAATCCACTTTCAGAATGTTTCCATCATCCCAATCAGACCCCTCGTTCTGGTTTACAGTCGATCCCCATTCCCACTCCCAGGCAACCACGAATCTGCCTTCTGTCTCCCTAGGTTTTCAATACGTGGTTTCCAAGGAATCAGTTCTCTGGCTAAATTGTTCCAGGGTTCAAATGTCTTGGCCAGTCAGCACCCCCGGGCCATTGCTCTCCCCGGTTTCCATCTGTCCTGCATCACAGCTCAGCACAGAACCCGACCCATACATGGCTCAGGGTTTGCCCAAAGAAAGGCGGAGCAGATCGCGTCCTGCTTTGTGCTTCTCCAGCCCCACACCTTCCCATCCCCACTGCAAGGCAGGTCTCGGTGGCCTCTGCCTCCGCCGCGGCCTCCTCAAGAGCACTGGTGGTCCTCGATGGGCCCCACGGTCCTGCGAGAGCAGCCCCTGCTCTCATAACCCGCCACCGCGGGAGACTGCAGCTCAGAGCCGCCCGCAGGAAGCCGGAGTTCCCCGTGCTGCGTTCTAACGCCGCCCTGAAGGAACAATGGCCAAAGAAGCCAGACCCTCGGCCTCCGGG